GGAACACTTCCCGTGACCTCTAATGAGATTGAAGGGAACATGCAGTGACCGAGCTTCGCGTTTAGAATTTTAGTCCTTCCAAAAGTTCTTAGCACAAGGCCGCAAAGCTCGGCATTTCTCATGGTTTCCCAAAGTAACTAGTCTATCGTTACATGAAGCCGACTCATTAACAAGCATAAAGAAGCATTTTGTAACTGTTGTAAAGAACAGTGAGATAAATATATTTCTCCTGTCCCAAGCTGTAACCGCATGAACAACACAAATCAGCACGCTCTGCAGCTATTGGCAGCCTGTATAAACCACTGCCCCTGTCCGACTTGGTGCTAAACCTGCATGATATACGTGGGACCATGTGGTTAGGAAGCAGTGACCGGGCTTTAAGCCCTCAGAACCATTAAACCTGGCAAGTTTTGTGGATTTTGAGGATTGTAAACAGGATTTTGTGTCCAAATTCCAGCTTGAGTCACCATGTTCTTCTAGTTTTAGTTGCATTGGGAAGAACTCTGTAATCTGTTCCAGGGGCTGCTGCATGCCATTGACAAAGCAAAGCAACTCCTGTGTGAATCTTGTTTCTGATGTGAGTTTGCCAGTCTGCTGGACGTTCACAGTGATGATCTATGCAGGTAATATGGTTATGATCTGTAAAATGCCATACATGAACCCCCTTTCATCAAATCTATGCCTTGAAACAGAGAACACCTTTGCAGAATTTATGGTAACAGCTTTTGTGGACAGTTGATGGTATTTCTTTTTAACCTGCGCCCTTGAGAGTAGATTTTAAATGATCTGTAACAGGAGTTCTTGTATGTCAGGACTAAAACAATACTTATCTGTAATAATTTGTTTCCTGTCAGCTTGAGTTTATCCAACTGTAAGAGCAGTGGGCTTAAATCTCATTTGGAAGGGGGGGGAAAAGCCTGATCTATACCCTTTAGAGCTCTGGATCGGTACTGCTCCATTCTGTTTCAGCAAAATAAAAATATTCCCTGGGGGAGTTGAATCGTTACTGCGTTTTGTGGTGAATGGCAAGCAAAAGGAGTCCATAAAAGCAGTATGCATAGCTTAATCTAGAGCATTTACTCCTCCCCTTTGCTCCCACAGCCTTTTCTTTTGCTCCCACATCCTTTTATTTTCTTCGGACAGTAGCAGCACCCACACGAAAAGCAGTTACAGTTCCTTAAAAGTCTAAAGAAGAAATGAAGAGTGCCCCAGCCTGGCCTAGACAGTAATTGAGGTAATTCTGCCGACATGGAAATAGGGGGTTCAGTCCCCACGGGCTGAGGAGAGAACTGAAGCCAGGGCTTCTGGAGTGCTTTGACCCATCAGTCTATTATGCAAAAGACGGACAACTTGAATACACATTTATCTGTGCTCATGTAACTACATCAGGCAAAGGTACAGCTGGCCATCTATTAATATGCAGAGAGATGCAAATTATCTCTTCTAAATGCAGAGAGATGCAGAATTTCTAACAAGTGTAAAGACATGAGTGAAGACAGGCTTTGGGAGGAATAGAAAAACTTGAGATACCTCTAAATTGCTAAGCAGAATAAACACCTTGAAGCATGAGGTACTATTTATAATGCCACAGTCGTTCTGCATGCTGATCAAGTACGTGAAACAAGCTGTCAGTGAATCACTTGGGATTGCAGTCCAACATATGCTACAGAAACACAGTTGCTATTTCAAGCTACACACGAAGCTTAATTTATAGCTGCTCCTTAATTCTGCAGTCTGTGAGGTACGGTATAATGACTGTAGGAATATTCTCCCTCCAAAACGTTTGTTCCCTTTTTATCTAAGTAGCTGGCTTTTCGTTACCTTCTTTTTCTGAGCCCTAGAGGTGTAATTTGCCTTTGTTTACCAGTCGACAGAACTGATGATTCTTCTTGTCAAGAGTTTTCCTGACTTAAAGAAAAGTGAACATGCACAAAGCCATATTAAGTACAGCCCAACCGCATTCCTAGCCATGAAAAGCATTTGGCATTTATTAGCAGTAATGTCTAAAAATTATTTCACTGTTGAGTGGAATATTCACCCTCAGAACAAATTTTTTTCCTGTAAGGGCCCCAGATCAAGGAAAGGATTTAGTGAGGTTTTTTTTTCTCTTGAAGTTTGAAGGGTGCTTTCTTCCACACCTCGGTGCATAACTCCTGTTCTGATTCTGCCATATGCCCGTCTCCCTCAACACCTTCGTGTACAAAACGCGGCGACGTCCTGCACTTTTTGTTTTAAACGGCCTACGTGCCGAGAGAGCCACTGAGTGCAGCGATCAGTCGTGTTAGAGCAGAAAAATACCCGTTAGGACAGATGATAAACACGTTATTTGCTGTAGTCTAATGGCATGCTCAGATACGGGCATGTGCAGAGCACAGTGGGATTTTTTATAGGAGAAAACTATTATTATGAAGCATCTTAGTGGAGTCCAGAAAGAATCACTCATGGATTCCTCTGTGTGTTTTTAGGCTTGATAGCACTTAAATATCTGACAATGCCCAGTTGTAACGAAGGCATTGAAACCATACGTAAATATTAAGACATCTTTGGTTCGTGCAGCTGTTACAGGTCGGTCGGAGTTGCTGGGAGGAGCGTTTGTCACTGCAGGCGATGGTAGGGAAATAAAATAGGCGTAAAACGTTAGACCTGAAAGAACTCACATGTTGACAAGAAATCCAGATTCTGGGAGACTAAAGAATCTTGCCGTGTTCAGGAAAAAAACCCAGCAAGGTAACAATGGAGACAAAACATTTTGCTATAGGAGGCTGCGATTAGAATGACTCACTGGTCCTTTCCCGATTTAATCTCCTATTATGCAACTTAACTATTGGTCATGCCAAGAGTTATGCTAGTAATTTGTCAGGAGCAGACAGCTTTGCTTCAGTTTGCATGTGCTTTAAATCACCAAACATATGCACTGCTGTAGTTACCATATTTTAACTGGGTTGCTGAGTATAAATTGCTGCTGGAGTTCACTGGCAGTAAATACCTTTAAAAATAAATTTATTCCCACGCTAGGAGAGGCTGGTGGGGGCCATATGTAGGGTTGACAGGAGTGATAAATACTGCCTTCAGCCACAGACCGTGGAAAATAAATCTAGGGTCTTCTGACACTTCACAGATAAATGTAGAAGTTACGAAGAAGGCTCCTTTGGGGAGTTTCATTTTCACCCCTTCCCTTTGAATTCAGTGTCACTGCTCAGAATTTCAATGTGGTTTGAAATATTTAACTGTCGTACTGTAATGACTCCCGTATCCACACGCTGATGGACATAAGCATGCAGGGTACAAGCAGTGCCAGTAAGTGGCCCTCCCAGCCAAAGTCTCGGAGGTGAATTAGTACAGGCAGGCAGGCAGATATGCTGGGTCGAGCAGAGATATGCAGATCATGCTCTCAGATTCACTTGGGAATAACACAAGGGATGGTTTCCCTATGAATTCAGAAAAAAAAAAAAAAAAGAACTATAGGGGAGGACTGTATGGAATAATTCCTTTTTCCTTCCTCCTCTTGCCATTCCCCACCCTCTTATTTTCTTGCTCCTACTCCTAACTGCAGGATTTTCCCCTTGGTCAGAATTTGGTCCCCGATGCAC